AGTATAATTATGTTTTTGTTGTTTTAAGTTATCATCTCTCTCAGAATAGGAGCACTTTCTCTGGATTTGTTTACTTGAATTTAGTAAAGCAGTTCTAAATGATAAGCAAATACACAAGAAGCGAATGGAGCAAATATACTGGGAATAACAGGATCAGGCAGTAAAAGTTTATTTTTACCTCTATAAAAATTCAACCCCAAATTTTCTCTAAGAATTATTAAGAGGCTCCTGTGGTAACCAAATCAAAACAGATCAATGGAACAAATTATAAAACTTAAGTATTTTGTCCATAATGAGGCAAATTATTGTCAGGAAGGATGGAATGTTGGGATATATTTTTAAGGAAAAGAACAGCAATTTCAAAGGAATGCCATACCGCTTGTGTGTCCCTTTTTATCGGCTGCAAAAGGTAAGCTTTCATACTGTTAAGAATGACAGTGCTGTTGGGACTTGCTTCCTGAATAAAAGTCTCAACTAAAAGACTTAAGACTAAATGTTTCAAAAAGAATGACTCTTCTGTATCTCACATTTAACTAAAACTTGTCTTGTAATACTAGGACTTGTTAAGGAAGATAACAGAGATAACTGCGTGACGTGGTGACACAGCTTCTGCCATCAAGTCATCACAAATGCATCCCACCTGCTGAGTTTCCCAGGATCACTTATAAATAAATAGCTTCACAAATTTCTTTTCAAATGGTTGTGTCAGGAGCAGGTGAGGAGATAAGCAAATACTAACTGCTCAGTCGTTCAATTTTCTTTGGGGAAAAAGGGATTGCAGAGGGGAGCTCAGCTCTGCTTTGTCTAAGGTCCTCAAAGTTTGTTTATTATTGCTCAAAGCACAGGACAAGGAATGGATGTCTTTGCGGTTTTATTAAAAAAAAAAGTTATCTTTTGTTTTTACACTACCTTCATTTCATAATATAACTTTCATCTTCTCCCATTTTTATTACAAAAAGTAAAGAAGAAAGAGAAAACAAAATCCTCGATATTTTTGATGAGCTTTCCTTTCCCACTAGCTGTCTTGCTGCTTCCAACCAATTAAGAATTTCATGTTCAATGCTGATGCCCAAACTTCTCTATAGAGGGTTCAGGCCAGGATACTGCATTTGTTCACTTGTTTTTCAGTTGTGTCCAACTCTTTGTGATCCCATATGGGCTTTTCTTGGTAAAGATACTGGAGTAGTTGAGGCAAACAAGGTTAAGTGACTTACCCAGGGTCACACAGCTAATATGTATCTGAGGCCATATCTGAATTCAGAAAGATGAGTATTCCTGATTCCAGGCCCAGCATTCTATCTGCTTTGCCACCTAGTTGCCCACCAACAAGGCATGGAGCTAAGTGTTAGGGATACAAAGAAAGGCAAAGCCATGGTCCTTGACTTAAAGGTGCCAATCACCTAAGGTGGGAAACAATATATAATAATACATATAACATACAAGATAAATAGAAAGAATGTAGAAAGGCATTTTGCATCTGAGGGAAATAAGAAAAACATCTTACAAAAAGGGAGCCTGAAAACCTAAGAGATTTTGAGGAAGGAGACCATTCCAGGCATGGGGGAAAGCCATTACAAATGTAAGGATTGTAGGTGAAGAAATGCAAGCTGGCTAGTATAGCTTGATTGTAGAATGCATGTAGGACTGGAAGAAAATGGAAGATGACTGAGAAGGTAGGAAGGAATCATCCACAAAACAGAGGAGTTTCTATTTAATCTGAGAACCAAGAAGGAAGATTACCTGGTCAGAACTGCATTTTAGGAAAATTTCGATAGCAATTAAGTGAAGGATGGATTGGAGAGGAAAGGTCTTGGGGCAGAGAGATCAATGAGATGACTATTGCAATAATCAAGGCAAGAGGTGATGAGGACCTGCATTAACATCCCATTTTTTGTCAGAAGCCTTTCCTAGTGCCTTTGATATCAGTGCCTTCCCTGTAAGTTATCCCCAGTTTATCCTGAATATAGACTGTTTGTTCATGGCTATTTACATGTTGTCTCTGCATTGTTTGAATCTAGTCCTGCACAGGTGGGAAACTGTACCACCTCTCCTCATTGCTTAGAGACCCTTAACCAAAGACTTAGATTATGCTGACCAGAAACCTAATCAGTACCAAAGATTGATGCAAGGAGTTTTCTCACAACTGTATATCTGAAGCAACCCATATGTCTTATCTTAAAACTGGTCCTGTACCTATCAACCAGTTATTGTTTTCATGTTCCTTTGATTGTTTACAAATGCCTGAGGGGAGTGAGACACCTCTTTTTCTGAATTCAGGGAATTATACCTGTTCATTCACATAGGTTATAAGAAAAGAGGGGAAAAAATGCAAGAAACCTTTTTTTCCCCTGTCCTTTCAGCCTTACCAAATTGGAATTACAGAAATAAAGTCAGATAACCCAAGTTTGTAGAACTTCTAAAAACATCTTAGTAGATTTTGGAGATTTGGAGATAAATCATTTTCACTTAACAGAAGCTTATTATATGCGTAAACATTTTAGTAAGTTTTGGGATACCACTGTAGAATTTAAGGAAAAATAAAAATTAAATTCTGTAAAAGTTCCAAGGTAAAACAGAACTTTGATAATTTTTTCCCCTGAAGACTGGTAGCCCTGTTGCTTTAGGGTAATGTAGGAAGGTAGCTAGTTTGAAAGCAGTCCTAGAGAGAAGGGGGTAAAAAAAAAAGAGGTATACAATTTGCATTTGAAAATTTATATGAAACTTAAATAGCTACTTCTTGTTAATCCTTCCTTGACCATGAAAAGAGAAAAAATCGTTCAAATCAAAGAGCCCTTGAGCCCTTCCTACCCCCAATTCAAAGACCCCTGTTACTCTTCCAGCTCCTCCCCTCTGACACCGTAAACCCCTAATCTCTGATCAGATTCCCAAATAAAGGTTCTGGAAAAATACAGGGAAACTTGAGTTACATTCTGGTCTCAAAAATTTATTTTTCCCATTTTTAAAATATCTCATAATTTAAAAAAGACAAGAGAGTTCATTTTTCAAGTTAGACCCTCAAAAAAAATTTTTTAAATATCCCTATATCTGATACAGTTTTAGATAAAGATAGAAGCATCAAGTGGTACATAAAAACTGAAATTCTCTGAAGTTTCAGGTTCGGAGAAGCAAATTTAAGAGATTGTACTAAATTGTACTAAGTCTTGTTACGGGCAGTTTTATGAGAATTATCTCAGGACCTTTACAAGTGATTTGCAACCAAACAAACAGAGAACCCTTCACAGCTGTCCTGAGAATGAAGCCTGTTCCAGAATGTACAAGAGAAGATATCCAGGGACCAGATATTTGGGACTCAAAATGTGATGATAAATATCGATAATCATTTTTATACTGCTTTGCCCTTTGGTGTTTATGTTCATGTTTAAGTTCTCTCAGTTAACTTGGTGACATGTAAATCTCTCTTCTTAAAATTAGTCCATTGTGAGCCCTATAAGTACTTTTGATCTGTAACCTGATTTATGTAATGCTGAACATGAATTTAGGAAAAAACACAGATTATAGATATGTAATCCATGGGGGAGTGGGATGTCTACCACCCCCCATAAATCAAAATGGGGAACTGAGGGGATTAGGACAGCAAATGGTTAATTGTGGGAATTAAGTGAACCACAGTAACTATCTTGTGTCTCAATTCTGGAGCTAGCTTAGTTACTATTCAATTATGGGTCTAGTTCAATTTCTGTCTTATGAGGAAACTTTATTGCATTGTTTGAACCTTGTCCTGCATGGCTGGGAAACTGGACTGCCTCTCCCTGTGGCTTAGAGACCTATAACTAAGGACCTAGGGTTATGCTGACCAGAAACCCAACCAGATCCAAAGATTGAAACAAGTTTTCTCACAATTGTAGATCTGATATGTTTTTCTAAAAACTGGCCCCAATCAGTTACTGTTTCCATGTTCTTTTGATTGTTTACAGATGCACTTGGAAAGTCCCTAATCTTTCCTCCAATTAGAAATCAGATTACCTAATGTTTTATTGTTTGCTTTTAATTAATTGGCCTTATTTGATTAATTGTTCTAATGTATAAAAGTCTGTCTCCCCCTATATTCAGGGTCTAGGTCTAAGCTGAGGAGATCTAGTCCTGGTCTTTTAGGCAACAGGCATACATTGCTTAATAAATCGAAATGCTTGGAACAGCAAACCTTTGTTTTCTTCAGCCATTTCATCTTTCACCTGCCAGATCTTCTCCATTAGATTGCAAGCTCCCTCATGTGCAGGGACTATTTTTTACCTTTCTCTATCTTCAGCATTTAGCATAGGTTCCTGGCACATAGTAAATGCTTAATAAATACCCTTTTTTTGGGGGGTGGGGAGCCAGTTGGGGTTAAGTGACTTGCCCAGGGTCACACGGGTACTAAGTGTATGAGGCCACATTTGAACTCAGTTCCTCTTGACTTCCAGGGCTGGTTCTCTATCCACTGCACTACCTAAATGCCCCAATAGGCTCTTAACTGACTATATTGTGAAGGCAGAAATGACAAGATCTGATAACAGATTGGATATGTGGGGTAAGTGCAAGTTAGGTGTTGATGATGTTACAATTTTATAACTGTTATCAAACTGTTTTGATAATTTTAACATGACTGACTTTCTTTGTAACCCCAATGTATTTTATTTTATGCATTTAAAAATTCTTGTGAGATGAGGTTCACAGGCTTCATCAGATTGCCAAGGGGCCCCATGTCCCCAAAAGGAGTAAGAATCTCTACTTTAGAGGTAGATGCTAAAAAAAAGATGAATTTGGAATTTTCAAAAAGCAATGAAGCAAGTAGGGTCTGTACTTTTGAAGTTATAGGTAAGCATATGCTAATCAGAAAATTTTATACCGACCACATCATAAACACCAACTTTTCCTCTCTTTCATAACACATTCCCTTTTGCCCACTCAAGTTCATCAACATATGAAATACAATTTGGAAATCGAGTAGTTCTGAACAAATTTTTCTAGGAGTGAAAAAGGAAAAAGAGGAGGGACTTTACCGTAATCTCTGGATATTGGAGGCAACGCCAGAAAGACGATATATTCCATCCACAATTCCATATCTCTCAATGAATGCAGTACAGCTCTGAAGAACCTGGGGCACTAAAGAAATTATTTTTTAAAAAATTAAAATAATAGCAAATAGTAATGTAAACTCAAAGTGCCATGGATGAGTTTATCAGTTCTCATATGTAAATCAGTCTATACCAGCAGAGGAGAAATATTTGGATTATGTAGTAATTGTGGTGTACTTCAGTTGGTGGTTATGCTTACTGCCGTTAGGCAAAATGAATAACAAATCCCAGGATAATAAAGATAGGTTGTATTTCATAACATTTATGGTTAGGGAGTGGGTTCCTACATTATTAAGATAGTATTGTTTGTTCAGTCAGGCTCAGGGGCCTTTTGATTGTTAAGTACATCAGGCAAAAAATAAATACAGTTGTTATACTAAATTCTGCACATAGCAAAAAAAAAAAGTATATGTTGAATGCTTATCAGAAAGAAATAGAAAACAAAACACTAGCATACAGTGTAATTAACAATTGCAATAAAGGTTTTGAAACCTTCATCCATTTACACTAATTTTAGTTTTGTTCAAAATGTGTATTAATATATGAAAATATAAGATTGATAATAGAATCTTTGCTAAATATTAAAACCTAAAGTAGTTTATAAAAAGATGTAATTCTTTACTTTTACACTGACTACTAGTTTTCATGATGTTTCTCAGATCAAGAGATTACCTCTTGTTAGGCCTATCAAGTCCTAAACAATATTTTACATGTATATGGTTCTTCACAGTTAATTGAAGACTTTCCTCATAACGATTCTATCAGGTGGATATTCCAAGTGTTGTTACCTTCATTTCAGATGAGAAAACTGAACCTCAGAGATGTTAAGTGACTTGCTGTGGTCACTCAGCTAGTAACTGGTAACATCAGAATTTGACCTCAAGTGTTCTCACTCTAAGTCCAAAGTTCTTTCCACTAATGTATGCTGCCACATCTCCTTGATTTTAAGCATAACTGAACTTGTTATTCCAGTTAGACATAAATGTCTACCTTCTCTGGACTAGAAGCATTTAAGGTAAAAGTCTTTGATTCATATTTGAATTTATAAGAACAGAAAGTAAAGTATAAAACTGGAGCTAAAATTATGGCCCTCGTTACCTCTTGTAGAACTCTGCAGCTCTGCAAATGTATTGGCTGAATCCATTCTTGCTGATCATCTGAATTACTTTTGTGGGGTAACAACCTATCAAATAAACCTGTTTTTTCAACCCTTTGCAGCATGATTAAGAGTTCTGGAATATTTTAGTCTCAATTAATGTCATGCTTGTGAAATCTTGCTCCTCTTCAAGAAGTAAGCTAGAAAGAATTTTGAGGGAATATGGGGATTGGTCACTTCCCTGAGTGCCCCTATTGGGCCCCTATATTGGACCAACATAATAACAACCGTTACATAAGTAACAGAAGATTATTTTGTATTGTAATGTTCTCAGTGAATCTATCTTATCTACCTAGAGAGAGATGTTTCTTAGGGCCATGTCACTGTACATACTTTATATGCCTCACTGTATACAATACTGTAGAGGCCCTTAAAAAATACTTGCTGAATCGAACTAAATCAGTGCCAATTCCCTCTCTATATCTTCTTTATATATTGCTTTCACTCTTTACAGACAATTGGTAAATACAGGTCATTCAGTCAAATTACGAGCCTATGAGCTCAGCATTTACCTTCAAAACCAGAATTCAGAAGGTGTTCCCCCAGGTCACATCCAAATACCCTTTCTTTCAGAATTCCCCGCTGCTTCAGTTTCTGTTTTGTTGGACGAGACTTCATGAATGTTCGTAAGAAAGTGATAAGTTTGCCGTGTTTTTTGGATACTGCAAAAACAACAATAATGAATTCTTAATTGTGATATAAGAGGATGTACTTTACAGAGACCAACCACCAAATTCTATGAATCTACACAGATATTGATTTTTTTTTCCCTGTAAAGAATCTGCAGCAGACTTTAAGGAGAAAAACTAACTTGCTTTAGGAATGACAACATAATGTTATCATTTATAATTGATTGGATCTTGTTTTTAATTAAACAAAAAATATGCTATAGTATACTGTATCATTCCTCATTTTCATCCCTGTTGGCAGAATTTACAAAATTTATGTATAGTTACATAACCTCAGAATAGTAATTATCTTTTCCCAAACCTGTTCCTCTTCCTAGTCCCCCATTTGTTCTAGTGGAATCACAGAATTACCTAGTAATTCATATTCAAAACTTAAGGGCTATGCTTTACTTTTTTCTTTTCTTCTCCTTGACCTTCCACATCAGTTCAATTGAAAAGTCTAGTTAATTCTATTCAGGCAAATCTTGTTCTCATCACCTGCCTGGTCAGCTGCAATATCCACCAGAATTGGATTACAGACCTGGAGATGTTTAATTTGGAAAAGAGTAGACTTGCATAAGGGGGAAATTATGGGCATGCCATCACAGCTGTTCTCATGTATTAGTACTGCCACATGGAGGGGAAACTGGACTAACTATGGCCTTGCTGGGTAGGATGAGGAGAAATGGGTAGAAGTTTGACAGAAGCAGATTTAGGCTTGGTGTAAGGAGATTCCTCCAAACAAGCAGAGCATCCCCAAATGACATGGGATGCCTTGAGAAGTATGGGGTTCCTTCTTTCTTGAGCCCTTTAAGCCTCTGGATGACATTAGCAATGCATAAAGTATTCATTCATTCAAAAAGCATTTATTAAATGCAGAAATGACTAGAAGCACAGAGACCACTTGAGGGTATTATAATTGTCTAGGTAAAAGCTGTTAAGGACACAAATTAGACAAATGACCATGAATGAAAATAAGATGGATGTAAGAGATATGAAGATAACATTGGCAACTGACTGGACATGAGGGAAGAGCTGAGAATTACAGGTGATGAAGTCCTGGTGACTGGAAGGGTAGTGGTACCCTCAACAGAATTGGGGAAATTAAGAAAGGGGAAAGTTTCAGAGAAAAAAAATGATGATTTCTGTTTTGAAACGTTGAATTTAAGACGCCTATGGGGCAGCCAGTTGGAAATATCTAACGGGCAACTGGTGAAGCAGAACTGGAGCACGGGAAAGTAGTGTGCATAGATGGAGGAGTCGTAGGGTCAGACTTACAGCTGCAAGTGAAATTGGAGGTCATCGAGTGGAACTGCATATTTTACAATGGAGGAAACCAAAGTCCAGGGAGAGAAAATGATTTGTCCAAGGTCATACAGGCATTAAGCAGCAGTGCTGAGATTTGAATCCAGGTCCTCTAACCAGAAATCCAGTGTTCTTTCTATTTGTTCCCTCTACATAGAAATGCTAGCTCACTTGGAAAGCGGGTGATAATCGCTAGTGAGGCAGAGATTGGATGAGATGACCTCTGAGGTTTCTTCTCATTGTTAGATTCCACAGCTTCTTCTGTCTCACAGTCTCTGTCCCCTAGTGCCTTCCTTTTGAGATTACATCCAATTTACCCTATGATGTGTGCAGTTATTTACACATTCTCTCCCCCTATTGGATGGGGTCTACAATTAATACATCACATTGGTACCCTGTTAATATTCCTTATGGAATCTGATCATGTTAGAATTGTAGAAGAATAGAAAGAGTGTGGCTCTGGAGTCAGAGGGCTTGAGTTCAAATTCCACTGCTGATAGCTTTTAACTTATACGACCTTGGGCAACGCAGTTGGACAGCACCGGACCTTAGTTTCCTCATTTAGGAGTTGGAATAGATGGTCTCTGAGATCTCTTCAGCTCATGGTCTATGATCTTCTATCAATTCTGTTTACTGCTTCCTAACTTCCTATTGCTGCCGTTTGGAATCTCACCCATCTTTCCTACACCTAGTTCAAGTGTCATCTCCTGATCATCTCAATCAGAAACTGAGTTTTCCTTCTCGAAACTCACATTACACTTCTGGGTTTATCATGATCTCTTTTGTATTATTATTATTTGTATACATAAGTAAGTTCCATTGGGGAAGGGATTGTTTGTGTTATCTATCTTTGTATCTGCCCTAGTGCCTAAGGGCTTTGAACAGAGAAGGGAAATAATTAATGTTTACTGACTTGAACCACAGTATCCTGTGACCACTCAATCAAGTTAGGAAAGTAAATAATCAATCTTTTAAAGTACATTCATGGCTCCTAATATCAAAACAAGTACTTATTAAATGCCTACTGTGTGTCAGGTACTGTGATAAGTTGTTGAGTCATTTCAGTTGTGCTCAACTCTCCATGTTTCCATTTTCGGGGTTTTCTTAGCAGAGATACTGGAGTGCCATTTCCTTCATTTGGGAAACTGAGGAAAAGAGGGTTAAGTGACTTGCCCATGGTCACACAGCTAGTAAGTGTATGAGGCCAAATTTGAACTCATGTCCTCATGACTTCAGGGCTGCCACTCTATCCACTGTGCCACCTAGCTGCCCACTATGATAAGTATTCAGAGTACAAAGATGAAAATGATGGAGTCCTTCATCTACAGTAGCTTACACTCTATAGGGGGAGACAAAATGTACATATATACACAATAAACACAAAGTAACAGGGAATGGGCACTAGTATTGGAGTAAATAATGAAAGGCTCCCTGTAGAAAGTGGTTTTTGAGTCAACAAGCATATATTAAATGCTTACTGTATGCTAGGCACAGTGCTATACACTGAAGATACACATAAAGAGAGTAAAAACAGTATTTGCTCTCAAGTAGCTCATATTCTAATGGGGGAGACAACATGTAAATAATTTCTAAATATATATGTATAATATACACACATACATATATATACATAGACATACGCTGCACACAAAGGAAATTGGAGGTAATCTCAAAAGGAAGGCACTAGAATTTTTTTTTTTTCATTTTCACCACTGGAAGCTTTAATAATATTGAACAAGTTCTATTGTCACTAATATACAAATTGAAGAATATACTTTACAAATTCTAGACTTTTATCTTTGTACCCCCAGTGTATAACACAGTGCCTGGTACATCAAAAGTATTCAATAAATGCTTGTCAATGAATTCATCAAGCAAGTTAGGGCAGTATCCTGTATTCACTGTAAGCTTATCACTGCTGATGGTGTAGTAGAAAGTAAGGGGAAAGTAAGATAGAGACAATGATTTTAAAGGGATTTAATTTTCGTTATGCTACATGTATAGGTATTCTTGTGCACTGTAACTAGCTAACACATCAAAAATTAAATATTGTTTCACTATAAATACTAGAGACAGTCAGAAAGCAAACCATATAATCCAATTCGAAATCCTGCAGTCTTTCATATTAGAATATTACATTATAAAGAAATCTAAAAAGTCTCTCACCCTTATCTGAATAGGGTGGGACTGACATGAAACCTGGCTCTTTCAAACCTAAACCAAAGCACATAAAACCAGTTTTTCTTGAAGTTAAACACTTTAAAATATACTATATAACTAACTTAGTATCTTTATGGTTAATCTTTATAACACCAATAACTAGTGTATAACAATGAGCTGAAAATATAAACTCAATAAAAATGTACTGGACTTTGAAAGGGATGGGTGGAGTACATACAATCAAGGAAGGTTCTCTAGAATTACTGCTAGAGTCTCTTAGAATTACTGCTGAATACTGGATGAAGTTTGCATTTATTTATGAAATTCTGTAAGACACTTATTCTTGAGCATCTTTTCTTCTTTCAATCTATGTTTTTTCCCCAAATATTGAGAACACAACAGTATTCTTCCTCCATTCCTTCACTGCTATTCCCTACCCCTACCCCCCCAAAATACTTTTTACTTCTAGGTCAAAATAATCTTTAAATCTACTATGTACTCTAAGAAGTCAAGATGAGAGAAGCACATATAGTAGATGGCCAGGTTAGGACTATGTCACATTACTTTCATACCCACTGAAGCTGGCTTCTGCATTATGTATGTACTTTTTTTCTGTTGTTTATCTCCAATTTACTCTATATACCTTATATGTACATAGTAGTTTGCATGTTGTCTCCCTCATTAGAATGTAAGCTCCATGGGGGCACAAACTATTTTTGCCTTTGTATCATTAGTGTTTACGCAGTATTCAGCACAGAGTAGGCACTCAGTAAATGCTTGCTGACTGTACATGTTGCCTGTCTTATAAGAATGTAAGCTCCTACAGTCAGAGACTGGGTTTTTTTTTTTGTTTAAATCCCCAGTACTTAGGGGCAGCTACGTGGCGCAGTGGTAGAGCACCTGAAGTCAGGAGGACCTCAGTTCAAATCCGGCCTCAGACATATAACACTTACTAGCTGTGTGACCTTGGGCAAGTCACTTAATCCCAACTGCCTCATTGAAAAAAAAAAAAATCCCCAGTACTTATCAATCTCTATTTACTAGTAAGCACTTAATAAATGCTTGTTGACTGATACACCAATATTAGTGACTGTCTATTCTGTTTACCAGTAATTTTGAGATATCCAGATATTTTTACATTAGAACAAATATAAATATCCATGTTGGCACTAAAAATTGTCATAGCTTCTGGAAATCTTCCCAGCTGGGCATGATGTGAGACCAGGCAGGACTGAAACACAATAAATTTCTCACAATGCATTGATATGAATGCAGGTACCCTGGCACACAACTCTAGGTTTCTTTGATTACAAGTTTGTTTGTTTTTTTTATGTCCTAAGAAAGAACTAGACCAGAACTAAAAGAAAAGTATAATGCTTGTAAAGGTATTAAAGTCTGTCCAATTAAATTCAACCAAGATTCTCTTAAGGGACAACACAAATCTATGTAAATGTAGTGTTTAGCTTTGCTGCCATGACCAGTTAATTCTCATGTTTTGCATACAATAATCTATTTGAAATTCCTTTCTG